CTCCTGTGTGTGTGCACTTCCAGTGTGTGCACCTGCTCCTGTGTGTGCACTTCCGGTGTGTGCACTTCCGGTGTGTGCACCTGCTCCTGTGCGTGTGCACTTCCCGAGTGTGCACCTGCTCCAGTGTGCTGGATGGGTCAATGGAAGTTGGTTCTTAGCACCCTGCAAAGCTGTGTCTGACATGGACTGTGTGTGTATATACACATGCCTACATGGTATATGGGGTCTTTTCAGTTGTCTATAATTCCGTTATGTGCCATTCAATCCAAGACTATTAGTCAAGATTTCAATGCGCTCTTTTTCAGAGATGTATTTATCTATTGTGTATACAATGTTATACCTGCATGTGTGCATATGGCTGTGTGCCAGAAGAGGGCACCAGATCTCATTGTAGATGGTTTTGAGCCATCCTTTGGGTGCTAGGACTCAGGAATTCTGGAAGAGCAGCCAGTGCTCTTAACCTCTGAGCCACCTCTCCAGCCTTCATGCACTCTTAAAAGCCTAACAGTGCTACCCCTACATATACTGCAGACATGGAGGGGAACATGTGTGTTCCATTCATGGTTTTACTTTATCATGTGCTGCATATAAATAAAATTCCTCCATAGGTCATTCAGAAACCACTTTCACTTAAGAAAAGGCATTATTTGAACAAATAGTTAATTATAATATACTAATTATTTTAAATTATTTTCAGTTAAGATTTTAATTTACAAACTAAGATTTCTAGGACAGACACCATGCCTTCACCAGGCTGTACGTCCCAGAGCTCTGCAGTCACCAGCACTGTGGAGCTACTAGGGACTCTGCTTTCATTGTCCCATGTGTCTGATAAGAGGCTGACCAATAGAGAAAAATGCCATGGCTTGTCTATCCATCTATCAGTAGAAATATCAGTGGACAAACATCTCTTAAAAGACCCCATTCGATCTTTTTGGCTATGGCTATGTGCTCAGAAATGCACTTGCCAGATCATATGGTTTTGAAAAATAAGGTCTCACACAGCCCAGGCTGGCCTCAAGCTGTCTACTGCAGCCAAGGTCTTCCTGCCTCTACCCCTAAATACCCCGATGGCAGATGTGTGCCACTGTCCTTGCCAGTTTTTCTGCTTTTAACTTCCTAAGGACACCCCATCAGCACACGACCTCAGGCTGTATGAATCTGTGTGTCTGGAGCAAGCCGGGGCTCATGGAAGAAGCCATTGCTAATTGCAGGCGAACAGGCGAGGCAGGCACAGGTCACAGATCGTGCACCTCAGCACACACCTGTCCGCCTGCGGGCTTCTTCCTCATCACTGACAGTTGTCACTGACATCGCTGACAGTTGACAGGGGAGAGATCTTCATCATTGAAGTGCCTCTCTCTGGTGTCACACCAGTTTTATGTCCATGCCCCCTACCCCGTGACCAGAGCCATCTCAAGTGAGTGTTAGCTGAGACTGGTACCCCCACAGTCAGAAGGCAGAACTGGGCAGGGGCCTGCTCCTGCCAGGGACTGCTGCTCAGGTTTCTGCTGCCCCTGCTGTCGTAGGTGCTATATCTGGTGGAGAAGGGAGCCGTGATAGAACATGTGGACCACAGTGGGATGCGCCCCCTGGACAGAGCCATCGGTTGTCGAAACACCGCTGTAGTGGTTACTCTGCTAAAAAAAGGAGCCAAACTAGGTCAGTGAACTCTACTTCCATTCAGCAGAGCCAGAGAGCTGGCTGCCGGCATCTTACCTGAAGGACCTACAGAGTATCTGCTAAGGGTTGGAGAGCTTCCCTCCATCCCTCTCTCTCTGCCTTCCCGCTCCTTCTCTTCTGTCTCATGTCTCATTTAATCACAGACATCCAGAAAACTGAAGCTGCGTATGATTTTTCCTCTTAAAAAATGACATATTATTTGTGGGTATGAATACAAGTTACACACACAGGTCAAAGGACAGTTTACTAGAGTTAGTTCTGTCTCATGGGTCCCCAGCCTTGGAGGCAAGTGCTTTCAGTTGCTGAGCCATCTTGCTGGCCTTTAGCTTATAACATTCTTTCCAGGAAGGTAGAGAGCAGAGGATAAAAAGGAGGGGCAGTCTGGGATCATGAATGGACCGGACACTCACATCAGGAAGTATTAGTATCTTAATTTTCTACTGCCGTGAAGAGAGCATGGCCCAGGCAACCTACAGAAGAAAGAGTTTACTGGGGAGTTGCAGTTCAGAGGGTGAGCCCATGACCATCATGGCAAGGAGCGTGTCAGCAGGCAGGCATGGCTCTAAAGCAGTAGCTGGGAGCTTAGATCTACTTTTGAAGCCTCAAGGCTCACCCTCCGTGGCACATCTCCTCTAACAAGGCCACACCTCCTAATCCTTCCCAAACAGTTCCACCAACTGGAGCCCAACCAGTCAAATATATGAGCCTATGCAGATCTTTCTCATCCAAGACACACTTAAGTTCTGCTTTAATTGCAAGTGGGCTGAGCATCAGTAGCTCAGAGAGGCCTAGATGGGTAGAATTATCAATGACAGCTTGATGAGAAAGTCGTGACTCCAGTACACACAATTTCTGTGATGGAGACACTGAGGAGGTCCTTGGATCAGGAATGGGCATTAACTAGGGGTGGTGTGGAGGCCCACACATGGCTAGTACAGCATCACATAGATTCTGCACGAATGCAGAAACTACTGAAGTGCCCCTAGTTTTGTTTGCTCTCCAGGCCTTTTGGCCATGAGTAGCTGGGGCTACATGGAAACAGTGTGTCCCGGTATCAAGCAGTTTCCTGTTTTTACCTTGATCCTGTACATAGATGCTGGGGATGCCATCTTTTTACTTGGAAAAAAAAAAAAACCCATGGAAGTTCAGTGGCCTCCCAGGGTCATAGTAAGTGGCAGAGCTGCATATGCGTGACTGGCAATGTCCCAAGGCTAGGTTAGAGGCTAGAGAGAAGGCTGTAGCCAGTGTAGACCAAAAGAGAAGCTAGACGGGGACAGGACAGGGGACCCAAGCTAGGACCTGAGAGTGGACCAAGGTTAGAGTACAGGAGTCTCACGTCAGCAGCTTCCCACCCTGCCATACTAGGTGCTGCAGGGAACGAGGAAGGAGCCTTTGAGGGGTTAATGCTGTCAGGGAAAGGCAAGCACCTTAGTTTCTGTTAGTAGCATGGTAAAGAACGCTTTTGTAACATTGATGATTCCTCATGGAGGCTGGCGTGACATCCAATAGTTGAGAAGCTTTAACCAGCTTGCTGTCCCCCTGCTGCCAGGGGCCCCTAGACCCAGCCCAGCACTGGCCTTGCTGTGAGTTCCTGCAGCTTGTACCGTGGAGTGTGGAGGCTGCAGGAGAGAGCTGCTTCCTCTGGGCTAAGGAAGCACCCCTGACGGCATGTTTATTTTGCAGGAAATGCCGCTTGGGCGATGGCCACTTCCAAACCTGATATTCTGATTATACTTTTACAGAAATTGGTGGAGGAAGGAAATGTAATGTACAAGGTAAGTGGCTTTGTCTCTTTCTGTGCTGCTGCTGTTGACCTGGGGCCGCCCCTCAAATTCTTTTTTTTTTTTTTTTTTTGTTTCCCTCACAGAGAGGGTCTTTTTTTTTTTTTTTTAAATATTTATTTATTTATTTTATTGATGAGTACACTGTAGCTGTCTTCAGACACACCAGAAGAGGGCATCCAATCTCATTACGGATGGTTGTGAGCCACCATGTGGTTGCTGGGATTTGAACTCAGGACCTCTGTAAGAGCAGTCAGTGCTCTTAACCACTAAGCCATCTCTCCAGCCCCCCGCCCCTCAAATTCTTATTGGATGTTGTAGCCATGCAGGGCAGTAACTTAGTAAGAACAGACGTTCTGAAACATTCCAGCATGACCTCTTGTCTAGATGCCTGTTGACGTCCAGACAGCTGGATCTTAGTGGGAAAGGACTTCTCTTTGAGTTTGAGGACGATAGTTACTAATACTCCAGGCGGTAGCTACTGCAGGAAGGAGAGCCACTGCTGGGTGAGCTGGCATAGCCAACAGGAAGGTCCCTTGGCTTTCCTGCCTTTCAGAGTTCCAGTTATGGCCCTGGACCTAGTTAGGAGGTACATAACAAAAGACACCAAGAAGCATTTACAGAAGGAAAGACTGAGAGAGGATGGTGCATAACTGCAGTTGTTGGCTACTAAGCCTGGCAGCCCAACTCTGAATCTTAGGACCTGGCAGCCCAACTCTGAATCTTAGGCCCTGCTGGTGGAGGGAGGTAACTGAGTCTTCTAGGTTGTCCTCAGTGTCCACACGTGTTCTGTGGCATGACTGCGTCTACCTCATACAAATATATACAAAATAAATATTTAAAAAGAAAATTAAAACCATTTAGTGTCATCGTGCCCATGCTCCACCTTTTACCTTTCAGTTCTTGATTCTACAAATTTGGGAGTTTTAAGTGCTTTTAGTGATATTTTTATTTAATGTAATCAGGTAATATATTCTCAGTTACTCAAGAATAGTTAATTTTCTCAGTTTTTCCACGTTCCCCAGAAATGGAAATAAGGCCCATAACTTCATAAATTTGACTTTAAAATTTCTCCAAAGAGATATCAGTTTAGATCCGTGGTGAGTAGCCAGTAGTGTATGCTTCAGGCTTTGCAGTCTGTGTAGACTAGCCTGCCATTGCTGGTTCAGAGCTAGTCATGGGTTATGTATGCACAGGCAAGGGAGTGTGCCTGTGCCCCAGGAAAACTGTAAATACACGCCTGTGAGTGGTGGGTGGCCACACCGGGGTTAGGTAGACGCATTGGCCATTTCCATAGATGACTATTCTTTCAAGACCTGTAATTAGGCAGAATTAAGAGTATGGGGGAGGGACCCAAGATTATGACTGCTTTAATCCGTGTCACTACTAGGTGGCTTTATTTGCTATGTTCTTGTTTCTTTTCTGTTTTTTTTTTTTTTTTCATAGTAACAAATAACTAGGCATATACCCTGACCCAGCAGGGTTCCCAGCTTGAAGTCGGTTGGAAATTGAGTTCAGGGCGTATATTGTTGTGGCTTTGAAGTGGTTTTAATATGGATTCTGCTAGGTAATTATGTCAGAAATATCAAGCCATTTCCAACAGGCGGCAGTTCCTGCTGGGCAGCGAGGCTGACTGAGCAAATGGATTTCTTTAGCCTTGAGAGTGATGTGCTGTGTGTGGCTCTGAGTTTTAAAGCCAATTCTTCAGTGCTTCTGAAGGAAAAATTACTATTCTACACCACGCTGCAGGTTTATCCGTGAGGCGCCAGCTGCCTTAGAAACTACAACATTTTTTTTTCATCTGGTTTCTGTTATACTTGAAATTAAAATGTATTTCAGTGAAACACAGTTCCTGAAATAACGCTGAACTTAGATGTGGGAAGATAATTGGATGCAGAAGATGGAGGATTAGTGATTTATTTTTGCAAATACCTTCTTGTTGAGCCATCTTTTTCCCTGCTGGGTGACAACCCGTGAGGACAGTGCAGTCTGAGACCATTCAGACTGGTCAGTGTCCTGGTTCCTACGAAGACACCTAGTCATCCGGGTCCTTTCCGTGTGCTGTAAAGATTTTACATGGGGGTCTTTCAGCATGGTGATTCATCTTAGAGCCCCTGGGAAAGAATAACTTTATGTGATTTTTGAATCCTAGAAAGGGAAAATGAAGGAGGCAGCCCAGAGGTACCAGTATGCCTTACGGAAGTTCCCCCGGGAAGGACTCGGAGAAGACATGAGGCCGTTCAATGAACTGAGAGTCTCTCTCTATCTCAATCTGTCACGGTGCCGAAGGAAAACAAACGTAAGCTGGGAGCTGTTGTCCCTCCCAGTTCTTTGGCAGTAGGTGAAGGCCAGGCCCAGTCTTATGGATCTGACTGGGGTGCCGTGGGGGCCTGCTGCTCTCAGAGACCTCTAATAGGTCACAGCCACTGTCTGCCTCCCAGAACACTGATGGAAAGTGCTTAGGTTGATGGAAAGCTCTTAGGTTGATGGAATGTGCTTAGGTTGAACTTCCTTTGCTTCAGTTGAAAACAGTAAATGCAGGCTGTGCCCGCCCCTGCCAGCTGTGACTGCCAGTGTTACCAACAGTCCAGGACCTTTTCTCTCCACATTCAAGAAGAGTCCAAGACAAGTGTCCACTACAGTTAACCTGCCTTGTGACCCTTGGGTTTGCTTAGTAAATACTCCCAGTTTATAGCCAGTAGTGGTCAGCTTGTACTTTGTTAGTAGTAATAGACATTTTGTAGTTCTTCCTACTGGTTTTGAATTTCACTCCACCCCCAGGCCACTCCAAGCCCCACTCCTCTTCCTGCTCCCAGCCCCAATGTAACTCACCTGCCCTGAGGCGAGGCCGTCACCTGCCCTGCACACAAACACATACAGCCAGCTCTTGGCCCCTTGCCTGCTGACTTTGCCTTCTGTGTGCTGCGACACTGCTTTCTCCTGAGCTAGAATTGCTGCTTCTGTGCTGGATGCTTAGGGATAGTTAGTCATAAGCTCTGATTATCTATCTTAAACAGACTGGGGCAGGGGTGGAGGGTAAGGGGATGTGCCTGCCCCGCCCCCAGGACCCCGAACGGCCTACTTCCCTTAGGGTAGAGTTCCCAGGAGACAGACCTGTCTCTCAGTGCTGCTTCTGACTTTATTTCCCTGTTGATACCAGGACTTTGGCTTGGCAGAAGAGTTTGCTTCAAAGGCTCTGGAGTTGAAACCCAAATCCTATGAAGCCTTTTATGCCCGGGCAAGAGCAAAAAGGAACAGCAGGTACTGTCTGGAGTCACCCACGGGACTGCTGGGGCATTTTTCTGGGAGGTCAAACCTGCTAGTTGAGTTTAAGGGTATATTCCTTCATCAGTCATTAGACACTTCTCATTCCTTCCAGTAGAAACCAGTAGCTTCCAAGAGGCATGGTCGTGGGTCATGAGTGTTTCTCCCTTTAGTGGGTAACGTTCATTTTCTTGACATTCTAGTATCTTTCCCACTGTACCCCAACACAGAACACCTGCTGAGTTCTTGTCTCATATGAGACAGACAAATAGGGGTGACACAAGAGCAGAAGAGGTTATGTCTGAACTCTGAGTTAGAAAGGGACATGAGGAGGGCCAGAGAGGGCCTCAAGCAGAAACCAGTGTTTAGAGGGACAGGATTCTGTCAGCAGGATTCTGATACCCTCTGTCCCTAGAGCCTTTATAGAGAGATCAGAGACCCAGAGTCACAAAGCCCTGGGTTAAAATGCAGCACTGTTCTTGGCTCAGCAACTCTGGGCCAACCAGGACTTCCCCAGCACATACCTGAACCTCACCCCTTTCCCTTTGGGACAGCTAGCTTAAGGACAGGGCACCCGGAGCATGCACATACGTGGCTTCTAATCACATCTTATGCTCTCTCTCGAAGGCAGTTCCTGGCAGCTCTGGCTGACCTGCAGGAGGCTGTGAAACTCTGCCCCACCAATCAGGAAATCAAGAGGCTTTTGGCCCGTGTGGAAGAAGAGTGCAAGCAACTCCAGAGGAACCAACAGCAAAAACAGCAGGGTCCCCCTCCAGCTCCATCCAATGACTCGGATAATGAAGAGGAGGCACCAGCCTCTAGTTTAAAGGACCACTTCCCCATCGAGGAGGCAGAAGAGGAGGAAACCTCTTCACAGGAAGAGTCCATTTCCCCGACTCCCAGATCCCAGCCACCACCATCTGTCCCTTCCCCATATATCCGCAACCTTCAAGAGGGATTACAGTCCAAAGGCAGGCCAGCGTCCCCACAGAGCAGGGCAGGGATCAGCAAGTCCCTGAGAGAGACTGTAGCTCAGCCAGGCTTGGTTATGCAGCCTACCAAACAGGCACAGATAGTGAAGACCAACCAACATCTGGGTTCGGGGCAATCTAGCATGAGAAACAGTAACACAAAAATACAAGTCTCTTCCCAGAACCCGCCCCCAAGCCCCATGCCGGGTAGAGTATCTGCAGCCCCTGCCGCGAGCAGAAACCAGCATTTAGAGGGAACTGGTCCCTTCGCTGCAGGAACTGGTTGTGGTCACTTCGGGGATCGGCTGGGCCCTAGCCAGAGCCTCCAGCTGCAGCGCGGTGAGAGCGGCCCTGCGTACCCTCTACCGAGCAAAGTCAAGGCTGCCGAGAGGCTCCTGGCTCATGCCTCTGTGGCCGTGGACATGGCTCCTCCAAGCCAGGGTGGACCCGTGAGCTGCAGCGACGTGCGGCACCCGGCTTCCCTCACTAGCTCGGGCTCTTCGGGCTCTCCATCCAGCAGCGTAAAGATGTCAAGTTCCACCAGTAGCTTGACTTCAAGCAGTAGCGTTTCAGATGGATTCAAGGTCCAAGGACCAGACTCTCGAAACAGAGACAAAGGTACAACAAGCCAGGTGCAGGGCGGCACTGCGGAACACAGGCCCCGCAACACTCCATTCATGGGCATCATGGACAAGACCGCCAGGTTCCAGCAGCAAAGCAATCCTCCGAACCGCTCCTGGCACTGCCCGGTGGCAGAGGGGCTACTGACAAACGCTGCCACTGCAGCTGGCCTGCAGTCTAACTCGGAGAAACCCACTCTCAAGCCAGGAGGCTATTGTAGCCAAGCCAAACCGTGTTCAGTGTCCCCCCTGAGCATGGGCGTTCACAATGGGGCTCAGGTGAAGGAGCTGGAAGAAAATAAGTGCCAAATTCCAGCCCTCTGTCAAGACAACAGGATAACTAAGGGTGTTCCTCATCTCTACCCAGAGGGCGTCTCTAAGCAGCCACTTCATGTCAGTACGGAAGCCCACAGGAGCCACCTCACTTCAGCGAAACCAAAGCGATCATTCATAGAGTCCAATGTGTGAGCCTTAAGCAACCCCTGTGTAGAATCTGGAGTGCAGTCTGTTGGCTCGTGGTAATAAATGATGTCTCTTTTTTTTTTTTTTTTTCATAATAAAAATTACATGTTAGCCATATTTTCCACCTCTTAGGTGGATCTGATGCCATTGACATATTAAAACTGTAGGATAAAACTATAGTAAGTAGCTAGAAATCAGCCATAAACAGAAATACTAAACAGCATTGAAAACTGTTGTCAGCTTCTATCTGGTGATTTAAAGGCTGCCAAGAAGACATCAACCGAAGCCATTCTCTTAGGAGATCATTTGGCTTGCTCTGTGTAAAAGCACACATACTTAGAGAAGAAAACAAAAGTCCACTGGTAAAAGTTTTTAACTCCTGACATAATATCTGGAAGTATATTCTGGAAAAGATGGGGGGGGGCTTTTTTTTTTAAGTTACAGACCCCTTAAGTCAAACCTGTCCTTACATATGTGTAAAACATGCAACCTGAGTGATTTCTAGCTGGATATAAATGTGGCTTTTCTCCTGTAAGCGAAATACAAGCGCATCCAAGTATCGTCGCTATCCTGGCAGGTCAAACATGATACGGTCGTTTGTAGAGTATTTTTATAGCCCTCTTTTTGGAGCTGTACTTCTGCTTCACAGTGTTGCTGATAAGAGAGAACAGGCTAGCTAGAATTTTGATTGATGTCCAGGTCTGAGTTGTGCAAAAGTACCAAGAAGAACACTCTTAGCGGTGACTACAAATTAGCCCTAACAGGTTCCAAAAGTGTTCTGAACAGTGACAGTCCCCGAAAACAAGCCTGTAATGTCCTCTAGGGACAGTGTTCAGATAGGATCCTTGAGCTCTGGGTGACGGTTTTGATTTCCTTATGCAGCCCGTTATTTCCTAGTCACGGCGAGTTACATATATATATATATGAATAGTTAGCCCGTTTTATTCAGGCTTGTAAATATAACTCAAAGGAAGTTAATCTAAAGACAAACAACAGAACCCCGCCATCTCTCTGCATGTTCTTTGTAAGCTCCATCCATGCTGGTTACCGCACTGAACAATCCGTTATCACGGCTTGTAACCGTATACCCGCAACGACACTTTATCTCATTTGTATGGACACCTCTGAGGTGCTACTTAAATCCAAGCTGACATATTTTTCATCTGTAAAGATAAGGTACAGGAATGAATCTTGGTTTAAGGTATTTTTATATGAAAGTGGTGTTATTGGAAGATGTTCAAATGCTGGTTTGAGAGAGGTGGGGGAGGATTTTCTATGCTGAGATGTGAAATGTATTTTCTAGAATCGGGGAGAAGGAAGTTCTATATTTTGCAGACTGTTTTAAACGTGAGCACCTGCGATGCTTCTGTGAACATCGTTAAGGTTTTGTACGAGAAGGAACCTTGCACCGTCTTTCAGTGTGTCTGTTCCTGTGTGTCGAGTGCTTTGTACAGACAGCTAGACCGTTTTTATAAGCTCTCTCTGAGCTCCGCTCCAATTACTATGGCTTATTTATTGTTTTCCTTAATATTTGTGAAAGTCTTACTCCTTTGTTATGTAGTTTGTTTCTGCACAACTACTGTACTTTTCCACATGGAATAAAAACCATTACTCCAAGTGGGTTGGTGTTCATTGCTCAGCGGGTAAGCAGACAGGGACACCTCTGCAACGGCTCTCTGCCTCGCTTTAATGTCACCCTAAAGAGTAAAGAGCATGTTTAATATACCACCAAGCACGCATTTCATTTTAATTTCAGAAGAAGGTGGGAGCTTCTAGAAATTCCAGAGTATTCCAGTCTCTAAATAGTGATTCTTGCTTAAATAGAAAAAGCACGGGACGAGCAATGTGGACTAATGGCATCTCTGGCCACAGACGTCTGTCTGTACACTGTAACTGCCAGCGCGCTGTGCCTTCACAGGACAGCTCTGTCTTCTAGCTCATTTGCAGTATCTTCCCATTGAAGCCATCTGTCTTTATGCCCACAGGTTTGTCTCAAACCATGTAAGAATAGAGATTGTTTTGGTTGTATCATGATAAAATTCTTACTTGAAGTATTTTATATTTTTAATTCAAAAAAAAACTGGAGACTTTCCCATATCCATACTATATTCACACTGTCTCCATGGTTCCCTGTCGTCCATCCAAGGCCTCCTCCCATAGCGCCCCCATGCTTGCTCGAACTCATGACCCTTCAGTTATTGTCACACACACATACCCCCTAACCTGCTAAGTCCAGTTAATGTTGCTCGGATGCACATGCATTTAGGGCTGACTAGCCCATTGGGGAGCTGGCCCCTGGAGAAGGTGAACTCTTCATCTAGAGAAGGAGATCCTGTGAGATCTCCCTCATCACTGTTGACAGGTTTCTGGATTTTTTTTTAAAGTATTTTAAAAATACTTTTTTTTTTTGAGAATTCCATACATGAGTATATGACCACTCCCCCAGTTTTCCTCCTCCAACTCCCCTGCATCCCTGTTGATCACGTGCCATCGGAACTCCATGGTTTGTTTTTAATAACTTACGCGCAGTTAACGCTGTGCATGACCTGCATGGGTATGGGGCTCTCCATGGAGCAAGGGAACCTACCACCGGAAACACCTTCCGGAAGATTCTCCTTCCCTTGGCAGCCATCACCTCCCAGGAAAGGGTAGCTTGAAATCTGAAGCTTAATACTAATTTAGGTTACTGTTTTGTCGATGATGTTGCTTACAAGCCTAAGCCCAGACCTCAACACTATTTAAAGGTAAGCTACAAGAATGGGCCAGGAGGGCTAAAGTACGGCTGACAGTTCTCGACCGTCCGGTACAGCGAGCAGCCAGCGTGTGAGGAGAGACTGCGTTAGTGTCAGTTCTGATTTAGTTTGGTAAAAGACAGTGCATGCTCATTATCCAGGGAAGAAGTGAAACGTTGGGAAGCTCCAGGTCAGAGCCCTGGGCCCCTGGCCCACAGCGTCCAGCAGGGAGTTGTTTGGCATCTTCTGTTTATATAGAAAGTGCTAAACTTTGAAAATTAATAGTTTTCAGGCTTTTTTGCTTTATGAGTACCTAAGAAATCTAAAAAAAAGAATGCTTTTAAATTGCCCTTTCTAGCAGGGACTTTCAGTGATGTTACCTTTTATGTAAAAAGCTAGCCAAGCTTCCAGCAAGTGTGTGTGTGTGTATGTGTGTCCATATATGTCCATATATGTATATATGTGTGTATGTGTGTGTGTGTATATGAGACAAAGATGCTTTAATGGTGACTCTCTTCTAAACTAAAAAAAAAAAAAAATGTTACAAATAATTTCTCTCCAGATTGCAATGTGAAGCACCACTTTGTAGAACCGATTTTCACTTGTATTGCCCACAATGAAACTGTAAGTCATGTAGAATAAGATATATGACCCTCTATAATAATACATGGAGGAAGGAAGGGGTGGGCCTATGAAACAAAAGAAATACAGTTCCACGTCTGACCAGAAGCTCACAATGCAGTGGTTACAAAGAAAGCCCATTGCTGTGGCAGCTAGAGTTGGCAATTTTCTGTAAAGGAACGCACTGTGTGTTTATGAAATAAAAAGTAAACGGTGTATTTACATCATTTATCCCCTATTTCTTTTTCTTTCTTTGTTTTGTTTTTGGGGGGCCGGGTTTCTCTGTGTAGCCCTGGCTGTCCTGGAACTCACTCTGTAGACCAAACTGGCCTTGAACTCAGAGATCCACCCGCCTCTGCTACCCAATGGGAATAAATGTGTGGACCACCACCACCCACCTTTTTTTTTTTTTTTCTTTCTTTTTTTAAAATTTCTAAGCAGTATTTTATTTATGCACAGCAGACTGGGACAATCTAGTGATTAAATATCCACAATGCTTTTCATTTAGAAAATACTTTTAAGGTGTGTTTATTTTATTTATATGAGTATTTTGTCCATCTGAATTAAGTTTGTTTGCTTTGTGTATTTCTGGTGCTTGTCGAAGCCAGAAGAGGGCGCTGGATTCCCAGGACCTGGAGTGACAAACTGAACCCTAGTTGTAAGGAAGGACAACCAGTACTCTTAACTGCTGACCCACTTCTCCAGCCCCTCATTTACAAGATTTTCTAATTTCTTATTTTCTATAGTGCTGCATGAATGATAGAGCGCTTTCCCACTGAGCCATCCCACAGGCTTTTAAAAATTCATTCATGCTGGGCGGTGGTGGCGCACGCCTTTAATCCCAGCACTTGGGAGGCAGAGACAGGCGGATTTCTGAGTTCAAGGCCAGTCTGTTCTACAGAGTGAGTTCCAGGACAGCCAGGGCTACACAGAGAAACCCTGTCTCAAAAAACCAAAAAAAAATTCATTCATTTACTTGTTTGTATATTCACCCATACATTCATGTTGTTTGAGACAAGGACATCCCAACCATTCCCCCCACCCCAATAGGATCTTTCTCCATTCCCCTCCCCTTCTCCTCTGAGAGACCCTCCCCCAATATTTCCTACTTCCCCCGCCTCCCCCCCCCCCCCACACACAAAGTCTCTGCAGGGATAGGCATATCCTCTCCTACTGAAGCTAGACAAAGCAACCCTCTTGGGGATGGATTCCATGGGCAATAGCTTTGGAGACTAAGCTACATGTTTGCTGCATATGTTCCAGTGGCCTCGGTCCAGCCTGTGTATGCCGTTTGGTTGGTGGCTCAGTCTCTAAGAGCTCCCTTGGGTCCAGGTTAGTTGATTTTGTTGGTCCTTCTCTGCAATTCTATCCCCTTCAGGGCTTTCAGTCCTTCCCCTAACTCTTCCAGAAGAGTCCCTGACCTCCACTCAATGTTTGACTGTGGGCATCTGCATCTGTGTTAGTCAGCAGCTGGCTGAAACCTCTCAGAGTATAGTTATATTAGGCTCATGTCTGCAGTCATAACATCATTAATAGTGTCAGGGGTTGTTGCTTGCCCATGGGATGGGTCTCAAGTTGGCCCAGTTATTGGTTGGCCATTCCCTTTGTCTCTGCTCCATCTTTGTCCCTGCATTTCTTTTAGCTAGGATAAATTTGGGGTTGAAATTTTGTGGGTGGGTTGGCTGGTGTCATCATCCCTCCACTGGGGGTCCTGCCTGGCTACAGGAGCCTTGTCAGGTTCTGTATCCCCACAGTTAGGCATCTCAGCTAATGCCACCTGCGTTAGCTCCCCGGAGCCTCCCCTCCCAGGTCTCTGGGACTTCCTAGAGATTTCCCTGACCTCAAGCTGTGGATTTCCATTCTCCTGGCCCTGTTTCTCCCCACATCTGATCCTGACACTCCCCCCACCACACCTCCATTCCCCTCCCCCAGTTCCCTCCCTCCATCTGCTTTCTATGACTATTTTATTCCCCCTTCTAAGTGAGATTCAAGCCGCTTGGGCCTTCTTGTTTAGCTTCTTTGGGTCTGTGGGGGTGTCATGGGTATCTTGTACTTTTTGGCTAATATCCACTTATCAGTGAGTACATACCACGCATGTGTTTTTGGGTCTGGGTTATCTCACTCAGGATATTTTCTAGTTCTATCCATTTGCCTGAAAATTTCATGATGTCCTTGTTTTTAATAACTGAATAATATTCCATTATGTAAATGAACCACATTTTCTGTATCCATCCTTCAGTTGAAGGACTTCTGGGTTGTTTCTAGTTTCTGACCATTAAGATTAAAGCTGTTATGAACATGTGGAGCACATGTCCTTGTAGTATGGTGGAACATCTTTTGGGCATATGCTCAGGAGCAGTATCAGTAGTGTGGCTGCGCTGGGATTCTTGGGATAGACAGGCTAGTTGCAGATACATGGGAACTTGTCTTCCTGCCTTAGTCTACTGAGCACTAAGTTGGGTTATAGGCAGAGCCTGTAACAGGTTTTCTTTCACGAGTACAGAATGGGCATGCATCCAAAGCTAGCCTATAACTCACACTGTGCTGGCTTCTAACTAGTGATAATGGACCCTAACTAGTGATACTTTTAACTAGCGATACTACACCTTAACTAGTGATACTTCTAACTAGTGATGCAATACCCTTAACATGATCAAGCCTGACTTACAACCAAGGTCTGAAACATTTCCATTACATGAGCAGGGACTGCCAGGTGTTGGTGGCACCCACTTTTAATCCCAGCACTCAGAAGGTAGAGGCAGGTGGATCTCTGTGAGTTCAGCCTGGTCTAGAGTGAGTTCCAGAACAGCCAAACCCTGTCCCCCCAAAAAACCAAAGTTAGGGCTGGTGAGATGGTTCACTGGTTAAGAACACTGGCTGTTCTTCCAGAGGTCCTGGGTTCAATTGCCAGCACCCACATGGTGGTTCACAACTGTCTGTAACTCCAGTTCCAGGCAATATGACACCCTGACACAGAAACACATGTAGGCAAAACACCAGTGCACATTTGAAAAAAAAAAGACAAGCAGGTGACAAGGAAGGTCACCTTAAGCTGGATACTACCTCTGCAGGTTGCTTGTGGGTAGATTCAGTGGTGTTTCCATGGGGTCACAACCTCCAGAGGCCAGGCAGCAATTCTCCATTGTCTTCTCTAACATTTTTGCTTGGTTGATTTGTGTGTTTTGTTTTATTAGAGACAAGCTTTCAGTGTCCTAAGCTAGCCTTTAACAGGCTTTGTAGCTAAAGGTGATCTTCAGGGTCACCTGCCACTGCAGGGACAGAAACACTATGCCACCACACTGAGATAAAATGAAACCTTAAAATGTTGTCTTAAAAAGCCAGGACTATTAATCTGAAGTGAGCCAGAGCCATGAAAAGATGGGGGAAGGGGGGAAAGGAAGTTTGATTAGCTTAACCAGAGACACCTGTAATTAGGAGGCTGGGGGCAGGGCTTCATGGCACATTCTTAAAATTCCAAGATTCAGGAGACATAAGCAGGAGGATTGCATATCCCAGTCAACCCGAGCCACAAAGCCAGTACAAGGCCAGCTGCTCAAGAAAACAGAACCATAAATTAACAAAAGACAACATTTGAGATGAAGGCAAAGATACCGTTAGAGAAAAAAAAAACCTCTCTCTCTCATGGTGAACATTATGTTTAAAAGCTTAAAATTACTGTGCCTAAGAGAACTATAATACAAAAAATGCCTCTGACCTGTAAGTTCCACTTGCCTAAGGATGATAACTTTCTATAATGCTGAAGGTTGTTCTTATAATTGCCTGGTCTTGTACAAACCTCGTGTTTTCCCTTCTGTAAACAAGCTTGCTTGCCCAACTGCATGCAGGCAGGATGTATACTTGACTTCATGTAGGTGGGATGTGTGCGTGATTACATGTGTGCAGGAAGTACATCAGCATGTGTGTTTGCTCCTGATTACACACACGCAGGAAGCATATGCCTTGTAAATTTTGCCTTTATAAACCCTTGTCTAATGTAATTTGATGCTGCATCTTGAAAGTGCTCTCTGGTACCAGTTTTGTTATGAGTCTGGGGTCATTTAGATATTCACCAATATGACCATGAATAAATTTTAATAAATAAATAAGAGCATTTATTAAATACTGACCAGTCCATGAATACTGGCCAGATCCATACCTAGGATTTCCAGAGTATGGCTTTGTTTCTTAATTTTAATGTTCTTGGACAGTTTACAGGTGTTTGGGGACCTAAGAGGATAAAGGCCAGAGACAGGGTTCTGTTCCCTGCCCTGAGGGTTTTGCTCTAGTATGACTCCAGCTGATGGCTCTGCTCTGGAGAACGGTGTTAGCCAGGCATCCGAATGTCTGTATAGATAGTGTTCCTGAAGTTCAGTTCCTGCGTGGTAGATACAGATGCAGTGCTGGTGGCGTAGTAGGTACCAGCCTAATTCCTGGGCATAGGTAAGTCCGGTATATGAGAATGTAAGGGGCCGGGCGGTGGCGGCGCACGAATTTAATCCCAGCACTTGGGAGGCAGAGGCAGGCGGATTTCTGAGTTCGAGGCCAGCCTGGTCTACAGAGTGAGTTCCAGGACAGCCAGGACTACACAGAGAAACCCTGTCTCGAAAAAGAGAGAGAGAGAGAGAGAGAGAGAGAGAGAGAGAGAGAGAGAGAGA